TGAAATGTGGCACCGCAATCAAGTCAAAACTGCAAGGCCAGAAACCACCTCCCTTAGCAAAGTGCAGTCTTGGTGACGAGGAAACTCTCAAGCTGAACTTTTAGTATTAGCATTTAAATTAGAATTTAAGCTTGAAAGCACAGCTAGCATACCTGCATAACTATTAGATTAATATTCTTCATGAGAAAACATCTTTCAGTTCAAGGAATGTCATTATATACATTACCTTTCAAAAGCTTTGGGTCAGTAGGATTTTGTAATATTTGTCTCTCTCTCTCTCTCTCTCTCTCTCTCTCTCTCTAAGTCTCTTATGCTCACCAATGCTGCATTTATTTAATTAAAAATAAAGTAAAAATAGTAATATTGTGAAATATTATAACAATTTAAAATAACTTTTTTCTATTTCATCATTTACTCATCCTCCACTTGTTCTAAACCTGTATGAGTTTTGAAGAATGTTTGTAGCAAATAGTTGATGTCAATGGCTACCATCAACTGTCTGATTAACAAAATCCTTCAAAATATTTTATTTTTTGTTCAACAAAATATAGAAACTCATACAGGTTTGGAGCAACATGAGGGCAAGTAAATGATGAAAGAATTTTCACTTTTGGGTGAACTATAGCCTACCTTTAATATAAATTATTAAGGCATAATTAGAAAGTTTCAGGAAGACTCTGTTATCTGAGAAGTTGTTCGATAAGCCTCAATTTGTGTGATTAATGTAATTTTTATAGCTCTACCATCCCTCCTGAGGTCTCTATTAAAGTCATGAGCTAATTAACCTTACCATTGCTATGAAAGCACACAGAGCAAAAGGTTAAATGGGGTGTAAGAAATAATGAATATTTAATATTATGATTTGATCATTTATGGTAAACTTGGCCCCTATCCTCCTTATTCCTGACGAGCCTACTGCGTTTTGAATCATGGCTGGCACCTCCGGTTTGGGTAACTTCCATTCAAAAAGACTGAAATTAATCATTTAAAATCATAAGGTTGCCCTACAAATAAAGCTTATCTGTCTGTTTGACTGAATGAGCTGTCAATTTCCTTCATGTTTTATTTTCAGACATCATGAGAATAACGTAACGCTTGGTATTTTAACGTGACATGTTTTAACAAGAATATCTATGGCAAGAGCTCTCAGTCGTTGCATTCTCCTTATTTTCTTTTTCCCTTTGCATTCCGCTGTAATAGTATGAAAAGGGACAGCATGTACTGCACATTTGTGGTCTGTTCTCCCGACTTAATTTACAGTATATTTAGTATATATATATAGTAAATACAATTTATTATCTGTCTAAATCACTTTGAAATTGTATCACGCAATGCTGAAGTTAATGAACATTTTTGATTAAGGCAACGTATATATAATACAGATATATATTACAGTGATATTTCACCCGTCCATTATTGAAGAAGACCATGATGAAGAATATCCACATAAAAAAGCGATCCATGACTTTGGCAACTTTCCGCCACTCCTCATTTCGTCTCTGTGCGGCCTTCTGTTCTTGATAAAAGTTAGTGATGTACTCAATATTTCTCAGGATGTTTTGCTGATGGAATAAACACTGACTTTCAACAAGTATCTCCCTCTTCTTTGCTGATTCTTTCCCAGTTGCTCCACTCTCAATCACTGTCTCTGCTGTAGCTCCTGCAACCTCTCCATGGTCAATATCCACACAGGTACCATCTATCCAGCCAGAATGGCTCTCTTTTCCTTGTCATGGTGATAAGGTTGGACTGATATCTTCATTTAATTTATCTTTTATCTTCTGTGAACACCCTTCACCAGCTGAAATGCCTCGTACCCTCAGAGCGAAGTCGTGTAAAATTGCCCGTTGTGGTAAGATAAACTCAAAAAAGCTCTTCCAAAAATTTAAGAACCAAAAAAGTAAAGGGTTTAAATTCAGAATTAACTGTAGGCTGTCATGGTGCATGTAAATGGTTGTTGTTAACTGTTACTAAATATTGTAGAAACTTAATTTTCTGTAAAGGTGCTTTGCAACGATTTGAATCGTGAAAAGCGCTATACAAATAAACTTGAATTGAATTAACTGCATCTGAAGATTGAAATAGTTGCAGTACAGTTTTGTAGTAGGATATGACAGCAAGGAACTAAAAACCTTGGAAGATGGTTTTAGTTTAGTAGCTTTGGTAAAAACCTGGAAGATAGTTTTAGTTTAGTAGCTTTGGTAAAAACCTGGAAGATGGTTTTATATTAGTAGCTTTGGTAAAAACCTGGAAGATGGTTTTAGATTAGTAGTTTTAGTAAAAACCTGGAAGATGGTTTTATATTAGTAGCTTTGGTAAAAACCTGGAAGATGGTTTTAGATTAGTAGTTTTGGTAAAAACCTGGAAGATGGTTTTAGATTAGTAGTTTTGGTAAAAACCTGGAAGATGGTTTTAGATTAGTAGTTTTAGTAAAAACCTGGAAGATGGTTTAGTTTTATTTTATAATAGTTGTGTTTGTGTTTAGAGAAAAAAGTAAACAGAGACTGAAGCAGAAGATTGACAGGTGTTGATATTTCACACCAGAGAGCGAGACTAGATAGATATATGTTGTTTGTGTGTGCGCAATTGTTTGAGTGATCTGGTAGAGGAGACACCTTGAGATCGTAAACTCTTTCTGTCTGGCATACTGAAGTGGTGTCGTCTGACTCTTTGCTTAGACATATCTTAATAAGGACACATTGCTGGTATGCTTGAGAGAAAGTTAATGATATATTTATTGATAGACTATTAGATTTGAGAAAAAATAGGAATAATATATGTTATTTATTAATTTGATATTTAAAATATATATAAGTAATATAGTAATATATAATTTAGAAAAAAAACAATATATTAATAAAAATTAGTAATAAAGTATAATCATTAAGATTAATCTCTTTTGAAAATGTATATTGATTAATCATAAATCTAAAAGTCCAAAGAAAGAAAGAAAGAATAAAAATCAAGACCAATTATGGCGACTACTCCAGTAGAAATATTAAGGTTAAAATATCCATTGTGTAAAGAATTGATAGAAGAAATTGCAAACAAATGGCAAAATAGAACTAAGGAATTGATGACTAAATGGCCAAAGGAAGGAACATTTGATGTATCATTGTGTGAGGAAATGGAAACCTTGATAAAAAAAAAATCATAAGAGAAAAGCACTAAGTACGAAACGAAAAAAAGAGAAATAAAAAGAGAAAGAGAAAACGAAGTACTGGCACTATTTAAAAAAGAAGGAGAAGATATGCTAAAAAATATCAAACAGGCAAGGAAAATATTGAAAGAAGCAGATGTTAGTTAAAATACCACCACCACCTTACAGATCCACTGAAGGTCAGTTACCCATGCTAAAAGGGACTGTAGAAGTAATAGGAGAAATGCAAATGGAGGGCAAATTACTGAAGGTGATGAGCATTTAGTTCAGTCCTTTTTGTGGGAAGTATGAGATTATATTTTCCACATTTTTACCTGGTGGTGTCTTCTGTTGTCACTTTAATAAGAATTTTGATGGATTTACACTCTATGAAGGTTCTTTTTTGCAGATTTATTACAGATTCATAAAAAACCCAACATTTGATTCATTCAAATATCTCAGTAATCACCCTCTGCCTGACACAAAGACACTGGCTAAGCGTAACTAAACAATTAAATACTGTAAGCATTTAATAATATTGTGCATAGAGTAGTGCATACAGTAGGCCTATACTATTTAAATATTATTTATATATTATAGATTACATTTAGATATTATACGATATAATATGCTTATATACATTATATTTAGATATTATATGATATAATATGCTTATATACATTATATTTATATATTTACACAAATCAGGTAGTAGTATATGATTCACATGCACTAACAGACAAAACCATATAGGATAGGCCAATATCTGAAACAGTCAGTGTTGTTGTGTATTTGGCTCCATTTGTCATACTGATCTGAATTCAACAGCTTTCCATTCATCTTTTCCCCATATACTGCAGGTATCACCTCTCTACTGTCTTTTTTTACATTGCAAACATCATGTTTAATACTGAAATATTCCTGTTTTAAACTATTGACAGCAGTAACGACATTAGTAAGGACTTTTAACAAAATCTGAGCGTATCCATGTCATAAAATCCTGGTTGGCTGTTTGCTTGGCTTAGGTCTATTTTTCCTACAGTCAGTAGGCTAAACACAATGTGGTACATTAGTTTGATGCTATTGATACTTTGAAAAATCATTTACCTAACATTAATGTAAATACATACATACATACATACATACAGAAAAGTTTTATTTTTGTGACCTTGTGACCTGACTGATCAGTCCAGGGGCCTCATGAACAAATGTCCTGCACAGGCCTAAAAGAGTCTTCAAATGCAAATAAATAAATACTGTAGCGAGCTAGTCTGTAAAGACTTTAAACTTTTACCATTATGCTTTAGAATTTTTCCAGTTTGGCATACAATGTGTCTGATGCCCTAACTAAACTTCAATTTATTCTAGATTTAGGATAAAAAGAAAAAAAAACATTTCTAGTGGCCTTATAAAGCTAAAATAAGCTAATATACAGTATTAAGATAAAATCATTATTTATATACATTAATTATTAGTAGTAATTGGATTGACCTTACAATACATCTCACTTGCAGAGTAGCAAAAATGTTGTGTATTATAGACTCTGCATTCAGCTGATCATGCAGGCCTATATAAAAGCTTAATATTGCATTCAGCTGGGTTTGAGAATGACAGAGATGTATTAATATTAATTGCAAATTACTGTCCCACACTCCCTCATTTAGAATAATCTGGATTCATGAACAATACAATAATAAAAGAATGGATGAGACACAGTATGTATGTCTGGCCTGTGTCATCACCATCAGTGTCAATGACGTATTATGCCTATTTATTTCCATTTTTTCTTATGTAAATCATTAGTATGAGAACTGCACAGACGTTTATGCACAAGGGCCCTGGTGTCTTTCATATCAAATATTCAGACAGCTTTCCCTATAATAAGCAAACTCATGAAGAAGACCATGATGAAGAATATCCACATAAAAAAGCGATCCATGACTTTGGCAACTTTCCGCCACTCCCCATTTCGTCTCTGTGTGGCCTTCTGTTCTTGATAAAAGTTAGTGATGTACTCAATATTTCTCAGGATGTTTTGCTGATGGAATAAACACTGACTTTCAACAAGTATCTCCCTCTTCTTTGCTGATTCTTTCCCAGTTGCTCCGCTCTCACTCACTGTCTCTGCTGTAGCTCCTGCAACCTCTCCATGGTCAATATCCACACAGGTACCATCTATCCAGCCAGAATGGCTCTCTTTTCCTTGCCATGGTGATAAGGTTGGACTGACATCTTCATTTAATTGATCTTTTATCTTCTGTGAACACCCTTCACCAGCTGAAACGCCTCGTACCCTCAGAGTGAAGTCTTCGCCCTCAGCCTGGCCATTTAAAGTGTAGTTGCTTCCCTTCTGCGCAGGTTTGTCTGTGTGCACAGACAGGCAGCTCTCACCCATGTCATAGACAAAGCAAATTCGAGCCAAGTACTGCAGGATAAAGCGACGTGCCCATGCAGGAACAGGTTGAGCCTCTGGTCCACAGTGGTGGATGTTCATAATGAAGATGGTCAGGGCTGTAGAAGCTGTAATCATGGTCATTGTAGCGATGTAATATTTCCCTGTGGAAACATTGGGATTGATGAACACAGACAGCAGAATTAATTCCCAAAGCTATCAGCAATAATTAGATATTTAAAACTGCATGTAACTTGAGAATCATTGATTATTTGACCTCAAGATCAAAGTTTCTGTAAAGTATTCCAGTGTTAAACACTGGCTGGGCTACAACTTCAATAGTGAGTTTGCTAATAAACAGCACAGTTGCAGGCGGCCCCAGTTTCATTAGGAAGGCTCATTAAAACTCATGGCAGGTGCATTGTTTATTCCTTTTTCTACAAAAGCTCCAGCAGCTTGTTTGCATCTCATACAATTTAATAATTATTTATTTCAGGCCTTGTGGGTGGGGGTGTTTTTTTTTTGGTGAACCACTTAATTGCACACCAAAGGAATCCAAGGGGGTGTTGTGCTGAATAAAGATTAAACATTTATACAACATGTGTCCAATTTTATGGGTAGGAAATAAAAGTACCAGAACTGATTTAGTCAGATTTAGAAAAATATGGTTATAATTGTCTATTATATGATGTTAATTGAGATCAAATTGGCTTTAGTTTATGTTCCTGCAGCACAATTTGTAGAGCATGGTGCTAGCAACACCAAGGTAATGGGTTCCATTAATCCACATAGCGTTGGCATCTGTGTTCTGTTGCTATGACTCGTCATTATTGTTGACCGTTCGCATTGGTTTGTTGGCCTGTGGGTGATTTCATGTGCATAGAAAGCTGTCCGAGAATCACTCGCCCAAGCGGAAAAATTTTATGTTGCTCCCAGATCTCGATAACCAAAAATCACATTTTATATGATGCAAAACTTACTTAACTAATCTGAAAATTTGTTGGTGTTTTTTTAAGACTCTCAGTCTTTTTGACATGGACAAAGTATGTTGAAGGTACACATTATTTGGCAACGAGCTTGAGTAAATTAATTAAAAGGAAACTTTTGGAGGATTTTTGTTGTTCCAAATCTTGCGTGTGATGTGTGTATATGTGTGTGTAAGCATGTGGAAAGACACTGGCACCTAATGGCTATTCCTGATAACAGCCCTACTTAAATTGACACCTGCAATTGTGTTTCTTATTTAAATAAATCATGGTCAAAACCATGGTCTTATTGTACTAATTTGTTCCATCGTTTTAGTAATAATACATTGTGGGAGTAATGAAAAGAGTGAACAAATTCTTAATTCATGGCCAAAATATCTAATTCCCCAGAGGCATGTCATCTTCAGGTCTCCATATTTTAATAACAAACCTTGTTAGATTTTGTTAGATTGTGCTTACTTCAACTTAGTTCAAGAAATAAACAATTATGTTACTATCCACAGCTGTCATTATAAAATGCTTAATGATCATAAATAGAATAAAATATAAGTATATAATTGTACGTAGAATAAAAGCTACTGATCTCACCAATGAGTGGCACATTCTCTGAAGGAGGCATGCTCTCAGCAACCAGAAGCTGGAAGACAGTAAGGGCTAGCAACACTGTGACCCCTAAAGATACTTTCTCTCCAGAGTCGGCTGGAAGGTAGAAGCCTAGCGGAGCCAAGAAGGAGATCATCATACAGGGAATGAGCAGATTAAATATGTAAAAGGAAGCTCTTCTCTTCAGGTGAAGTGTGTAAGTGATATCTGGATAGGGGTCCGAGCAGCATCCATAGAGAATAATGTTCTTCTTTGCAGGCATTCCCTGAACCTCCCACTCTACGTTCTCCACAAAGTCAGCCAGATCAGCACTGTCCAGAGCATTATGAAGATCCATTTGGTTGCCATTGTGGGTCCAAGAGCCAAAGGTGAGGCGGCACTGCTGTGCATCAAAAGGGAAGTAAGACACATCTACTTTGCAGGAGCTCTTGGTTATTGCCGGCTTGTCCCACATAATCTGGCCATCATGGCGGATCACCACATTGGTCTCCATAGAGCTGGAGAAATGGTCATCTGCACTGGAGGACAGAAGGTAAAAAAATCAATAAAATCACTGACATAGTCATCAATATTCTGCATTTCATAACCTGGTTTACCAAACGTTAAAGCATTAATAATATTTGATAATCATATTCTTAATCAGCATTATTTAATCTCTAGATTAACCATTTTATAATATTATTATTAATAATAATAATTTTCTGCTTTTTGTCTTGGTTTTCCAGTTAAAATATGTAAAACTCATTAAAACAAAATTAATTTAGGTAATACAAGAAATATTGGCTTTAGACTCATTTTGAGAGTTCTTTTCTTTTGTCATTTTATAATGTTAGTAAACTTTGTTAGATGTATGATAAAAACAAACAAAAAAAAGTGTTGCTAGTTGGATAAAAATTATTTCATTCAAGATGATTTTTGCAAACACATATTGAAGTTATACTGATCTTATTTAGGGATATTTAAATATTTTTACAAGAAAACAAACAAGATTGATTTAAAATATTACTTTTTGCAGTACAGACAAACACAGTAAATACACAAAATAAAATATAAAATACACAATTATGTAAGACAAACAGGTCAATATAACCACTATACATATACAGTGGAGATCGATCGAAATTAGAGAACAACCTACAATTTCCTAAATTTCAATATCACTGCTTAGTCCTATTTGAAGTTATCCTTACAGGTGTAGAAGGGCAGTTTTTTAAGCATATTTCATAAATTAATTGGATTCTGAAGCACAGCAAAAAAAAACTCAAATGAATTATTTGAAAAAGAACTCTGATCAAAATTAGAGAACACTTACAGATACAGTGGGTAGAGAAAATAATCACCCCCCTTTAAAATAATCACATTTTGTTGTTTGGCTGCCTGAAATGAAGACAGACACAGATTTTGTTTTATCCAGCAGTATTTACTCAAATACTAAAAAATCACCCACTTGTGTCAGTATTTTGTTGAACCCCTTTTGCTTTAATTGCAGCCTTTAGTCTGTTGGTATGTCTCTACTAACTTTGTACATCTAGACTTTGCAATATTTGCCCACTCTTCTTTGCAGAACTGCTCAAGTTCAGTTAAATTTGATGGTGACCATTTGTGGACTGCAATCTTCAAGTCATTCCACAGATTTTCAATGGGGTTTAAGTCTGGGCTCTGACTAGGCCATGCAAGGACATTCACCCTTTTCTCCTTTAACCACTGTGTGATCAGTTTTGCTGTATGCTTTGGGTCATTGTCATGTTGGAAGGTAAATCTTCTTCCCGTTGACATCTTTCTGGCAGAGGGCAGAGGACAAGAATTAGAATTTTTTTCTTCCATTTTTCCTTCTATCCTGACAAGTGCTCCAGTCCCTGCTGTAGAGAAACACCCCATAACAGGATATTACCACCTCCATGCTTTAGGAATGGTGTTATTTGGATGGTGGGCTATATTGGATTTCAAAGCTCACCAGTCATTCAAAGTGAGGGCCTCTACAATTTCTAAAACATTTTGACAGCTGAACCCCTATACAAATTTTAATTGTAATCTTCTTTTGTGCTACAGTACTCTAATGTTCTCTAATTTTGATCACTGTGTTTTCCTCAAAATAAAGGTTTTTGTTGAAATTCTTTGGTTATTTCGTCAAACATGTTAGTATAACAGAGGTATATAGTAATTTAATCAATGAAGATTAACAAAATTTCAGAAAAAAAAAATCAAGTATTTATAAATTGTTCTCTAATTTTGATCTCCGCTGTAAAACAATAAAGGAATAGTTCACCCAAAAATGAAAATTTCCTAAAACTTTACTAACCCTCAGTCCATCCATGGCGTAGATAAATTTGTTTCTTCATCAGAACAGATTTGGAGAAATTTAGCACAAGTAATCCACATGACTCCAGTCTATCAAATAAAGTCTTGTGAAATAAAAAAATGTGGGTTTTACTGGAGAATAGATGCCTCAAACAAATGGATAGAGGCCTCAAACATCTCAGTGACGGATTTGTTTCTTACAAACACTCAGTTTTTTGCTTCACAAGATGTTAATTGATGGAATGGAGTTGTTTGGATTACTTGTGGATTATTGTGATGTTTTTATCCGCTGCTCATTCTCTCAGCACCTATCCACTGAAGAGTATTCACTGGTGAGCAAGTGATGTAAAGCTACATTTCTGTAAATCGGTTCTGATTATGAAAAAAAACACTCATCTACATCTTGGATGACCTGAGGGTGACTAAATTATCAAGACATTTTCATTCTGGGGTGATAATTCGTGGTTAATTTATCATATTTTGCCCCCTCCAATCCTGAATATGTACAGTGGGGAAAAAAAGTATTTAGTCAGCCACCAATTGTGCAAGTTCTCCCACTTAAAAAGATGAGAGGAAAGCAACCACGTCACAGAGTGATGTCGAGGTAATCATGTGAATCAGATTAATTTGTTATTATTTGCTTTGTAACACACAAAACTGCCCAAAAGCATTGAAGGGTCAGAATCTAAACTTGCTGTATAAATTAATTACTATTTGTAGCATGTTTTGCTATGATGAGCTTTCTGGACATGAAAAATAATGAGTGGAGAGCTCAGACCCATATAAACACTGCTCATATATACACTGTAAAGATAGATAGATAGATAGATAGATAGATAGATAGATAGATAGATAGATAGATAGATAGATAGATAGATAGATAGATAGATAGATAGATAGATAGATAGATAGGTAGATTATGATTAACACAGAGTAATTTAATTTTAAAACTTTTTTGCTATTAAATTAACTGATAACATTGCAATCATGATTTTATGAGAAGAAGAAAGAACAAATTGACTGGACCCTCCCATGAACAAGCAGTTCATGAGAATGTACAGCCTGTGTCCTTGGCAACAACAAACTGATGGACTGGACATGACATTCAGTTGGTGGCTGAATCGATGACAGCCAATACCAATCCGACCTACTTGTTATATAGGACAATATCGGGTCTCCATACATAACTACTAGGTATACGGATGGTATCAATCCCATCGTAGTCTGTCTTATTCCAGGTGAGGTAGGCATCAAACCACACCTGACGAATCCACAAGTATGTTGTGAGGATCTGGTTTCTTTCATCCTAGGAAAAAAGGTTGGAGCTTTATATGGGTTTAGAGCCTATATTAATAAATATATTCCAGTCAGCAAAATAAACATCAAAATCACTGATCAGTTAAAAATCAGTTGAAATGTTAATTGATGTGACACTAATTTAGTCAGGAATTGATTGAAAAATACATTGTATATGTATATGTATATAGTACATCAATGTACAAAATACCACAAACTGTCAAAAACATCTTACCAGCAAACATACACTCGTTTTCATCCTTCTATCCACTCTCTGATGCAGAAGTCTCTAAACTCATCCTTTCCAATCATACGTGTAGCGTGTAGCATTAGGCTAACCGAGACTTGTCATTTGCACTTATATATTGTTGCTCTTTTGTTAGCTTTGACTGCTTTTATTGTCCTCATTTGTAAGTCGCTTTGGATAAAAGCGTCTGCTAAATGACTAAATGTAAATGTAAATGTAATTCATACAGATAATAGTTGAATGATGAACATGCTTGAATTACAAATAATTTTTATATTTTTTGTGAGGCATGTTAAAAATAAATATAATATAATAATATGTGTTATAACTGTCTAGAGATTGTATAAAGGCAAAAAAGTCTTATTAAAAGTCGTCGTGTCTTGAGTTCATTAAATTTAGCGTAATCTTTTATTTATTTATTTTTTTTTAATAAACAGTTTGTGTTAAAATGGCAACATGTCACAGTAAAAATGATGTCAGTAAGTTTCTGGAACATATAAGATAATCTGACCTTTTAATCAATGTTATGTCAAGTTTGCAATGATGGACTATACATTATGTCTAAGTTTAATATATGTCGCACTAAATCTCTAAATTTAGTTTAGGTTCATGATTCAGAAATTCTTAGCATGTGTGTTTTAAGATATTTAAGGCTAGCCACTACAGGCAAAACCATAGTTCCCTATCGATACTATACCATAGTTACCTATTGTACTGCGTCTGCTAGGACGCTATGGGGAAAACTCCTTTTTCTCCGATGGCTGTAGCCTTTTTTAATAACGCAGTGTAACTGCCCAGTCATTGGTCCGTGCAGTGAATTAAAAACGAACCAATGGCTCGGCAGCTACCAATGAAGCTTCGCCGTAGAAACTCCTCTCAGCGGATCAACACCTCGGCTGACTTCACCCACAGCAGCACCAGTCTTCCGGATCTCCTGCCGCAATCCGGCGATTTATAAAAGAGCAAATTTAACACGGCGTTGTTGCAAATGCCGCCATTTCTGTCGCTCACGTGCAGGGCTCCCCTGCACGCCGCTGATGGTCACGGCGAGTGCATCCCATGCTTGGGGAAATCCCACGCTGAGGATGCACTCAAGGAGACGGAATGTCCTCACTGCGAGGATATGAGTCTCTCCTCTCTGCGCTTGTGGGTAGCTTTCTTTTTAGAAAGCGACCCCACCCCTCGCGCCCTCCCATTTTCCTCCCCACCCCTCGCGCCCTCCCGGAGCCTGCGAGGAAAAAACAGTGGGCTCTTCCACCAGAAGAGGATGAATGGTTCTTGCTTAGGTGCCGTCAAGCCCCTCGTCAACGAGCTTCACCATTCTTTCCGGAAGTTCATGATGAACTCACCAGGTCGTGTTATGAAACGGATGTTCAGGATGACTACTTTGAAACAGATTCTTTCACAGATGTCCCCAGGGGACTGGTTCTTTCCCTGGATCTGAAAGACACGTACTTTCACATCCAGATATCCCCTCATCACAGACGATTCTTGAGATTCGCCTTTGAGGGAGTGGCATATCAATACACAGTCCTTCCATTTGGACTGTCCCTGGCTCCCCGCACTTTTACAAAATAAAACTATCTCACAGATCCTTTCTCCTCAGCCACTTAGAATGCCTGGGTCTCAGGGTCGATTTTGCCAAGAGCACTCTGTCTCCCAGCCAACGGATATCATTCCTGGGAGCAGTTTTTGACTCGGCCCAAATGAGGGCCAGAACATGCACTGGCTATACAGCAGCTCGCAACCTCTTTCAAAATAAGAGTCTCTCACCCCCTCAAGACTTTTCAGAAGATGATGGGTCTCATGGCCTCCACATCTCCGGTGCTACAGCTGGTCCTGCTTTGCATGTGGCCCCTTCAGTACTGGCTGAATCCGCTAGTTCCGTCCCACGCCTGGCATCTCGGACGCCTTCATGTCAAGCTGGACCAGGCCTGTGTGGCAGCTTTGGCCCCTTGGAAAGACTCTCAGTGGATGGAACGGGGTGTGCCCCTGCGAATGGTCTGCAGAAGGAAGGTAGTCTCGACAGACTCTTCCAACATGGGTTGGGGAGCACTGTGCGATGGCAAACTGGCTTTTGGCCTCTGGTCGAAAGAGGCAGGTCGGCTGCACATTAACTGCCTGGAAATGCTGGCAGTGTGTTTGGGGCTTCGCACCTTCTTGCCAGACCTAAGGGGACACCACGTCCTAGTCTGATTGGACAGCATGATGGTAGTGTCCTACATAAATCGCCAGGGAGGACTCTCCTCGAAGCGCCTCTTTACTCTAATAGAGCGCCTCTTGGAATGAGCTCAGTTTAACTTGTTTTTGCTGAGAGCAACACATGTACTGGGCAGGTTGAACCAAGGAGCAGACATGCTGTATCGGAGCAATGTCCCCTTGGAAGAGTGGATGCTCCACCCACAAACGATTCAGAAAATCTGGGAGATCTTTGGCAAGGCAGAGGTCGACCTCTTTGCCTCAAAAGACAACTCTCATTGCCCAACTTATTTCTATAGGGACGTGAACGCATTAGCCCACAATTGGCCCAACTGCCTCCTTTACGCTTTTCCCCTTTTAATCAGGGAGCATGGGCACAAGGTTCTGTTAGCAGCCCCACTCTGGGGGAACCAACACTGGTTCGCAGAGCTGTCTCAGCTGCTTGTAGCAGCTCAATGGCCCATTCCCCTGAGACGAGACCTCCTTTCTCAGGCGAACAGAATGATATGACACCCCCAGCCCGAACTGTGGGCTCTGCACCTATGGCCTCTCGATGGGAGCCTGCGGACCTCCCCGAGAGCGTATTAATAACGCAGTGTAACTGCACGGTCATTGGTTCATGCAGTGAATTAAAAACGGGCCAATGGCTCGGCAGAGGAGCTGCATGAGCCTATGGCGACAAAGCCCGCCAGAGCCCGCCAGAATGGGTGGGGCCATCTGGCAATATAAGCAGGCATGTCGCCATAGGATCCTCAGGTTACTTTCGACTGAAGCGACGTCATGCAGCTACATAGCACAGCCAGTTACACAGTACTCATTCCGGTATCTCAGGGAACCGAGGTTACGTTAGTAACCGAGTACATTTCCTATCGATACTTCATTCATACTGCATCTACTAAGACGCTATGGGGAACCAGTACAATCCCGCCGTGCTATGCTAGAGGAACGACTCATATTTGAACCTGCCTTAAGCACCAAAATGGGCCCAGAGGGGCCAAGTAATTTGCAGGGAAGCCCCACAGGAGGCAGCAGGGCTAAACTCACAGAGGTCAGCTTAGCCATGAGTAATTGTTCCAAGAAAAACTCCTACAGCTTCAGCACTCAGTGAGGGCCAAGAGCTTAAGAAGGAAGGCAAAGCCTAAGCACTGGCTGCCCTAAGACAAGAATGAGCCCATTACGCAGAAAGGACCCGGGCCTGTAAGGCCTGGACGTCCAGATTATAGAACCTGGCAAATGTGGACGGCGAGGCCCAGCCGGCCGCTGCACAGATCTCTGCAATGGACACACCGCTAGACCACGCCCAAGACGAGGCCATACCTCTAGTCGAATGGGCTCTTACTCCCATGGGGCCGTTTAGGTCCAAAGAGGAGTACGTTAGCGCAATAGCGTCAACTATCCACCTGGAGAGTCTCTACTTAGTGACCGGAAGCCCTTTGGTGCGGCCACCAAACCAAATAAAGAGTTGTTCCGACTGCCTGATCGGGGCAGAATGCTCAATATAAATCCTCAATGCCCTGACGGGGCAGAGTAAATTCAACTCCTGGTCATCCTCCGAGGGAGTGCCGATAGAGTTATAACCCGTGCTCTGAACAGAGTGGAGAGCACCTTAGGTATGTACCTGTGCCTTGGTTTCAGGATGACCTTAGAGTCGTTGGGCCCGAATTTAAGGCAGAAGGGGCTCACAGAGAGCACCTGCAGACCTCCCATCCGCTTTACCGATGCTAACGCCAGTAGCAGAACAGTTTTTAGCGTCAGGGAACGAAGGTCAATGGATTGTAGCAGCTCAAAGGGAGGGCACTTTAGAGCCCTAAGCACCGTTGACAGATTCCTTGTAGGTACAATGGCGGGGCAAGGAGGGTTAAGCATCCTAGACTTTTTCAAAACACGAACAACCAGGTTGTTCCTGCCCACCGACTGGCCGGTGTGATAGGCTTCTCTGGCTGCTACATAGACCTTGAGCGTGGAAGGGGAACAGCCCTTGTCCAACAGATCTTGCAGGAACAATATCAGAGATATGTCACAGGAAGTTGGATCTTCGCCGCGGGTCGTGCACCAGGTGGAGAAGACCGGCCATTTAATGGCATAGATGTGTCTCGTAGACGTTTCTCTAGCCTGAGAGATTGTTTTTAAAAAAGACTTCAGTCATCGGAGAAAAAGGAGTTTTCCCCATTGCGTCTTTGCAAATGCAGTACTCGTTCCCGTATCTCAGGGAACCGAGGTTACGTTAGTAAGCAAGTACGTTTTTTGGTAACAATTTTTTTAAGGACCAATTCTCACTATTAACTAGTTGCTTATTAACATGCATATTATTAGCATATTGGCTGTTTATTAGTACTTATAAAGCACATATTAATGCCTTATTCTGTATGAGCATATTTTACATCCCTTAATCCAGCCGTATACCTAAATTTAACAACCTTACTAAGTATTAATAAGCAGCAGATTAAAAGTTTATTGAGGGAAAACTTTTAATTAATAGTGAATATGTGTTTGTTTATTTATTTATTTATTTTTTCATGCACTGGTCATTTTTGAGATTTTGGATTAATATGCTTTCAGACTCTTTCAGACTAGTCAAAATAAAATTTAATTACATAAATAATTTTCATATTTAAGCAACATTTTAGAAAATGTGTAAAACAAAACAACTGTTGAAGCACTGTAATTAATCAGCTGGGGAATATATGGTGATATGGTTACAAATGTTTCATCTGTAGAGTCTTGCCAAAGCACAACTCAAAAGGGCAAAGTTAGGAAAAAATCATCAGAGAGAAAGAGACTGAGAAAGAATGTGTGATTGACTGCAAGTCATTACCATGTCGATGATCTGGGAGAGAGTGATCTGTAAGGTGACGTTAATGATATTGTCCGTGTTCTCCACAGGCCTCAATGCATTGGTGTAATTCACAAATAAATCATTCAGCAGCTTGAATGCATATCTCCCTTGGGCACACAAACAGACTGTCGAAAAGGAAGAGAAAAATGAGAGAGTGAATTTACATTTGGCTGATTTGTTTTATTTACATTGATTAATCCATTGAGACACAAAGTCAGCTGGTGGTTCCTTGAGTATGTTGAGTAAAACTGCTATTCTCATGTCCTTAATAAGATTGGTGGCTTCTGATTGAATAGATTAGTGTGTCCAGAGCTGATGAAAAATGAGCACTTGAAGCATTTGTTCATTTTTCTATGGCAATAAACCCATCAGACCTTCAGCACTCTATGGAGTCAGTAATGGTTCCCCTCTGAAAAATAATAATTCTGAACAATTACAGTCAAACCACAAACAATTTTACTTGCTTAATTATCTTTGTTTGATGTAGAAGAAAGTGAAATTATTCCCTGTTCTGATTTCTCAAATCCCCAGATTATTTATGACAATTGGATTTGACTAGGACAAATAAACAAGAATAATATAATTCAGCAAAGCATTAGACAAAACAATTTGCTACACATATTTTCCTTCTTTATAAATGGGGGAAAACAATTATATTTTCAATAAAAATATTCAGGGTATGAAAAAAACATTCTCCAGTAAAAAAGTAGTCTTGTATGAACTAGGAGAGAAACATGCAACAGATCAAGCACTGTTTACAAGTGAAAACAGTTCTAAACAAATGTTAGTGTTGAGTTTATATATATACTGTGTATATATACTGTATATATATATTTAGCTCAAGTATGCAAACCTCTTTGCCACATGCAGTGGAATGTGTATTATAGTGAAAGTTACATTTTCAAATAAAAATGGCAACATGATCGTTTTATAAAATATGCGTTCATATGTGCTTCATTTTCAAGTAGTTTGAAGAAACAAACTAATCTAAAATCATAATTTTGGAGGGCCTGAGGGTGTGTACATTTGCAGCCAATTAAAATTTTTGGGTGAGCTATTCCTTTAAACTGTAGTTCCAAATTATAAACGCTATATTGTGTACTCTGTATATTGGATTTGTCTGCCAGCTCAGGGCAGATTGATGCCTCAGTTATGAGGAATGAGAGTGCTGCTAAGGGACTCAGCAAGTGCCAGAAACAGGAGAGCTACAATAATCTTTCAAACTTCAGCCCATGGGCGTCGCTAGGCTATAGCCCCCCTAAAATGACTACTCAGCCCCCCTAAAATTTTGCGAATATTTCGCCTCAGTTCCCTTTACATTTCATATGAAAACGGCGGCAGACTTCGATCGGCTCCTCCCCGTTTTTGCTTTCTTTTTCAATGCATCAATACTGCGGCGGCGCAGAGCGAGATTATCGATAGATTATTATAATATCTGCATCTGTGCAGTTCTTTGCCATAAATCCAGTTTACAAATTATAATGGGGGGGGGGGGGGGGGGAGGGGGTCCCCATCTACTGTAGCCTAAGTTTTCTCTGCGTTCACCCCTCATCACACCACAGCTGTTTCCTCCAGTGAAAATGAAGCACATATGAACGCATATTTTATAAAACGATCATGTTGCCATTTTTATTTGAAAATGTAACTTTCACTATAATACACATTCCACTGCATGTGGCAAAGAGGTTTGCATAATTGAGCTAAGGAAAGTTGTACTAGAAAGGCAAACTGTAAAATGTTGTGTTTGTACAGTAAACAAGTTGTGTGTGTGAGATCATGAAGACTTGAATGTGGCTTATTCAGTTCTCAAATGTTACACCTATCTATGCAATACAGTGGAATACTGCAATAAGTTTATTATACGACCCCTATTAATCAAACTGTTTTTTTATTATTTATATATATTTTTTATTATTAGGCTATTATTATTATCCTCACCGGGGGTTGAGCCAAACCCCCCCCCCCCCCCCCCCCCCCCCCATTATTGAAAAAATACAGCATATGCTGGTTGAAGCTGGGATGCTCGTTTGAGCTGGTTTAAACTGGTCCTTAGCTGGTTTAAGCTGGTCCTTAGCTGGTCATGTGCTGGTCCGACCAGTTATTATGAGAAACTAAGTCATTATTACGAGAAAGTTTCTCATTATTATGAGAAAATAAGTCATTATTACGAGAAAGTTTCTCATTATTATGACTTACGGAATTATATTTTTTTATTTAGTGGCGGAAACGGGCTTCCATAGATAGCAGTTAATAACGGCAGTTTGTTTGTTTTAATTTAAAATTCCATTAGGCTACTTGCTGGAGCCCTTTTGTGGTCACTCAAATGGAAACTGTAACGAGTGAAATACAACAAAAGAGTACCATTGTTGCAGTTTAGTAAGGCTACACTGAATCAGAATTAGTCGCAAGTGAAACCTTTAATCACAGGTTAATGTTTTAATCGCAGATTTGTTCATCTGTGTTTAAAATTAAGTGTGCAGTCCATATATTTAGTTGAACTATGGCCACACCAAGTGCAGCAGAGGAACTCTAGTGAGCAAGCACGTTTACTCAATTACTTTCTCCAGTTCCCTGAGGATGAGTGGTCAGCGCTTTCACCAGCGAATCAATTCAGTCCAAGTGCCAGACAAAATAGCGCTCTAATGAAAGATAAAATGGAGGCTGTGGTGTGAAAAGGATCTGTGAGATCCAGCTGGCAGCGCTCCTGTCCTGCAGCATGAACTGAGCAAATGTGCAGAAAGTATCAAATTCTTATAAGCAAAAACACTGGTATTAAAGATGCTTCTTTAGACAAAATGCAAAAATGCATATGGAATTTGTGGGTCATATACACAGGTGCATCTCAATAAATTAGAATGTCGTGGAAAAGTTCATTTCAGTAATTAAACTCAAATTGTGAAACTCGTGTATTAAATAAATTCAATGCACACAGACTGAAATAGTTGGTCTTTGGTTCTTTTAATTGTGATGATCTTTAAACTGTGTTTTCTGAAGTCCACAGTCAACGCAGCCATCTACCAGGAAATTTTAGAGCACTTCATGCTTCCTTCTGCTGACAAGCTTTATGGAGATGCTGATTTCATTTTCCAGCAGGACTTGGCACCTGCCCACACTGCCAAAAGCACCAAAAGCTGGTTCAATGACCATGGTGTTACTGTGCTTGATTGGCCAGCAAACTCGCCTGACCTGAACCCCATAGAGAATCTATGGGGTATTGTCAAGAGGAAGATGAGAGACACCAGACCCAACAATGCAGATGACCTGAAGACCGTTATCAAAGCAACCTGGGCTTCCATACCACCTCAGCAGTGCCACAGGCTGATTGTCTCCATGCCACGCCGCACTGATGCAGTAATTCATGCAAAAGGAGGCCCTACCAAGTATTGAGTACATGTACAGTAAATGAACATACTTTCCAGAAGGCCAACAATTCACTAAAAATGTTTTTTTTATTGGTCTTATGAAGTATTCTAATTTGTTGAGATAGTGAATTGGTGGGTTTTTGTTCAATGTGAGCCAAAATCATCACAATTAAAAGAACCAAAGTCTTAAACTACTTCAGTCTGTGTGCATTGAATTTATTTAATACACGAGTTTCACAATTTGAGTTGAATTACTGAAATAAATTAACTTTTCCACGACATTCTAATTTATTGAGATGCACCTGTAGTTACTATTTTCCACAGATTTTTTTTTAAGATAGCAAATGTAATAATACATTCATTATATTAAAAAAAAGAAAGAAAATGTGTGGACTTGAGAATAAGAAAAATTGCTCAAAGTCAAGTGTGTAAATTACAAATTCTTCATAAATTCAGACACTAATACACACAAACCACTCACATGATTCCCATTGCTGCATAATTAATAATAATTGGGGAAAATAAATAAACAAACTCCAAAGGGAATTAAATAAATTCTGGATATTTCTGGGACTGCTGGTCTTTGTCTACATGCCTCTATGGTATTGTAAACATGAATTATTTGGGTCAATTCTCTTGAACAACATATCAGGTTGATACAAAATTGTAAGTTATAGATCAGTGCTGTCATCTCACTGTTGTCATTAGAATTGAATTCACAGATGTTCCAGATTAGTGCAGGACATGTCCATCTCAGAATCTCTTGGAGTGATGTTCATGTGAAAACTGATGCTTAATTTAGAATTTTCATCTTCATCTTCAAGTGTAATATTTAAGAATTCACATTAATATGTCTATATCTACCAAATAACCAAACAGACACACCAAAACATACAAAAACTTAATTCTGGGGCCAAAATCTGCAATTAAAAAAAACAAGAATACACAGAAACACAACCGGTATAAGGAGTATAAAACACTAATGTTAGTTCTATTAATAAATGTAAGTAATTTCAATCTTTTTGTCAAATTAAGGTATAGTCGACATATAAATGCGAAAAATACGCTGGAAGTGAGCGCAGTCTTACCTGGAATAAAACCACTGGTGATAAACAAATGAAGAGAAGCCAGAATGACACTTGGGTTCATTTTGTGGCGTGAAAGAGGAATAAAATCTCTTCTGTGGTCTCACAAAGGCAGATGCAGCATTTCTCAGGTATTCCCATAGTTCAGTACGGTTTTGTTTTCAGGCAGCGCAAGATCCACGCGCAGCTCGTTAAGCGATAGAAGTGTCGCGTGCTAGTTACAGTAGTGATGACGAAGAATGTCAGTACTAGATATAGAGTACTGTTACTCGAGCTCAGCAGAAAGATGTGTCGTATCGTATGGTAAAGTGAGAGCGTTGCTGAAGTTGAGACAAGAGTACTTAGAAAACACTACGAAAACGACTTTTGAGGTATAGTATTATAGTGTCGAGTGTGCGAACACCGGCATGTCAGCTCGTGTGTTTGTCATTAAATGACATATCAAATATTAAGAAATTAAGCATTTTTACATTGGTCTCAAAGTTTTGGACCTCACTATAAGCAGAATATATATACACAGATTCTTATTAAATGAAAATTATTTTATTCATAGTTTTATAAAAGAATTAAGCACATTAATGCAAAGCAACAATCAGACAGCCACAAACACCCATTCAAAGAATCTTAATTACCAGAAACATAATCTGCTTAATGTTTAGAGAAAATAAACATTACGGGAAACAAGCACATTACTAGTGGCTGATGCATTTGTAGCATTAAAAAAAAAAAACCCTGAGGATGAAGGGTTCACATAATGCTGTAATTACATCAGCAAAACCCTATCCTAGTCAGACGAGATGTCAGGTTGACTTTGATTAAAGTTTTATAAGAATCACCAGTCACATACTGTTGAACACTTTAGAAACAAAATATATTTCTATCAACCTCTTAGATCAATAGCACTGAATTTATTTCGTTTTCCATTAGGCAAACCTTTAACAATAAGGTCTTTCAAATTAACATCTTGAAAATCCTACAAAAATAGATATGCCCACACTTTTACATTTTTAAACGTTGCCGTATATTTTGGTGTCAAGAGAGATTATTTTAAATAAAAAATGCTTAACCTCCTCAAAAAAGACCAAATTACAAGCCAGGTTGAGTAACCTTTATCATTTACACCCACAGAAGCATGCTTGCAACTTATAGACTAAGGCAGTCCATGGGAACAATAAAAATACTGTACTTACAAAGGTATACACACAGTTACACTAAGATTTAAAAACACTGACTGAAAAAGAACGGTCAAAAGAAAATTTTTACATTTTGAAGTCTTTATGAATTGTTTGGTGGCCAGAGTACACTGTAGGCTAAAAACACACAACACAATATTACATTTTAGCTTTGAATGGACCAGATGATACTTCACAATATAACTTTTTAACTTAATAGACAAATGTAAAAGTTCTCAAATCTGGCATTTTCCCTCCAAGTATCTTGGGCAGATGAAATCGACAGGTGCATTCAAAGAGATACTTTAATAATTAAAGACACCCACATTCATTTCTAGAACTACAAAACAGGATTTGAAAGGGGAAAAAAGCTCCTACACAAACACACAAGGGAATGCTTTAATTCACAAATATTGTGCCTAAATATGCATCGAAAATTCAACCACGGCCTGAAACAGCCATTTAATTGGAGTGCTGAAGGTCAATCCAATCAAGACTCACGTTATTTCTGCAGAAACTGATTGAGAATAATTTATTCAGTGACTGATAACATACTCTTGCAGGTACGACTGAGTAAGGCTGCGGAGTTCCTCTAAAGCATAGTCCTCTGGCATGGGTAGACGTCCAATGTGTGGAGCAAGCTGGCAAAGAGGGATGTGTCGGGGATCTGGGGTGCCTTCACCACCTTGCTGGAGACTCAAGACCACCCGAAGGATGTTAGCCACACGTTTGGCCATCTCTATAAGGCAAGAGAGATGCAGGGTTACAATTCTACAGCAATTATGTGGATTCAAATTGCAAATCAAACAAGGTTTTAAACTTCAGGCACTGAGGAACATAATTTCTAGTCAGTTCCATAAATTAATGAGAAAAGAAGTTGAAATTAACTTATTGCAGTATAAAGTTCCCACAAAACATTGAATGATTTTCAGACCTGATTGCGCAAGTCGGTCTTTAGCTTTGGAGCAGGGGAGGCGCTCTATTCTGCTGCAGAGAGACGTCACCTCTGTATGCAGTCGCTCCAGCTCATAACCTGGGCTTTCCGTCTAGAGATAAAAGTAGAAGACAATCACATTAGTAGTTCCTTAAATTTTTGTTACAGTTGAGCAACATACTATCCTGAACAGCAGGATACCTGTTGGATGTCCTGCAGTGTCTGAATGACATGGATATAATCAAGAAAGATTCGTCCAGACGTGTCCCAGTCCTGAATCTGAACACTGCGCTCTGGCACTGCTAACCCCTCTAGGAATTCCAGAAGGTACTTATGATTATCGTTAATGATGCAGTCTGAGGAAAAAAGACAGGAGGATGGAATTAGTACAGTTAGTACCATCATACAGAATTCATCAGCAGCTGCTAAAGAACAGAGCGTTCCAATCATAAAATATGGATTTACGTTTTTCCTTCGACAAAACCTATAAATTACTAAAAGTATAGCATCTAATTTTCATAATCTGGGGGACCAAATTTAATTTAAGTTACTACCCAAACTCCAAAACATAGCTAGAAAATGCTTAAATCATGCAGCTTCAGTCAGATTTACTGAATAGAAACTGTTTTGAGTTTAACAATTGTCAAGTAGTTACTTTTTTTGATTCATAAGTCTATACTGCAAATTATTATACATTACAGAGCATTTTACAGTTATTTTCCTGATGACTTCAGTGTCTGATACAGCAAAGAAAGGCTCAGAGTTGAAACCACTTGCAGTTCTGCTTGTGTGTACAATGTAAATATGTTGTCTAGAACTGGGCAGCAAAATGAATGTGTAGCTTTGCATTGCTGCAGACATAAATTTTTTTTAAGAGGCATTAAAAGTGTGTTTGTGTGCTTTTGGCTTATTCAAACCTGAGGCCAGGTGCTGGATGACCAGCCGATGGCAGTGATTCCAATGGCCGGCCTTGTAAAGGTGCAAAGCCTCACTACGTTTGTCTCCCTCTCTACAAGCACGAATGGCCTTGGCCTGATGGATCCACTGGATGGGGATCAGCAACTTTTCCGTGAGAGTTTTCAGTTTGGTTCTGATGGTTTGGCACAGAGTTTTTTTTAGCGATTTTAAATGCAATTAAAAAATATATATATATCCAGTACATTGTTGTACACTGTAGAAAAACATGGATTATCACATGTCTACCTTAAATTTATTTTGAGAGAAGTATTATTTTTATAGATTGGCCATTATTTAGTGCTATGAACACATGTAATATCTGTTTCATTCATACTGGATACTAGACGGCGCCCCTGTGCAGAAAGTCCACATATGCATCACCGAAGAAATAGAGCTCACGACTCCAGGAAATACCATACACGTGTTTCCTCAATTTAAGCATGCTTCACTTTGTCAGACTTGTTCTATTTAAGTGATTTCTTGATTCAACAGGTCTGGCAGTAATCAGGCCTGGGTGTGGCTAGTGAAATTTAACTCGGCTTTCTAAAATAATGTGGTTAATTGCAGTTCTTTCATGATTAAACAGGAGGGGGCAATTAATTTTTCACGTAGGGCCACGTAGGTTTGGACAGCTTTTTTCCCTTAATAAATGAAATCATCATTTAAAAACTGCATTTTGTATTTGCTTGCATTATCGTTGTGTAATATTTACATTTGTTTGATGATCTGAAACATTAAAGTGAGACACACATGCAAAAAAATAAGAAATCAGGAAGGGGGCCAACACTTTTTCACACCATTGTATGTTGTACAGCATGCAACTTGACATTAAGCTTTTAGGAACAAAAAAATGTGCACACTCACCACTCTTCTGGGACAGTTTGCAGGCTTTGCTCATGCAGTGGCCAGTAAGGTAACTGAATATGGCCTCAGCATGGTTGCGCTGAAGGGCTCGGCCCACCTCCTCCTCAATGCACTCGGCCGCACACTCAGAGAGCCAGTGGGAGAAGCTCCTTCGCCTCTCAAGCTGCAGCTGGTAGTCCGAGTATTGCTCAGTCTCCACATCCCGGTCACCCAGACGACCAAAAAGAGCAGCACACAAAGTCCAAACTTGCCGCCAATGGGCCAGACCAGCTAATGTGGAAAATAAAAATTATTTAATATATAATAAGCATATGTATTTTTTTTTTTATTTAATTAAATTATTCAGTTCATTAAAACTTTTATATATACACAAACACTACTGTCTAAACTTAAAGTTGGTAAGATTTAAAAAGCGCACAAAGTTAAAGAACAGCATTTAGAATGTATTAATTTAGAAATTGAAATTGTAGCATTGTAGCGGTTGAGATGTTAAATGAATCGCGATACAATTGGGGGTAGGAGTTTAAATGAATGCATCTCTGAGGGGCACTGTCTTTAGAAAAGATTAGATGGTATTTTCTTCTCATCTCGCCTCTGTATAAAACATTAAAGTAGTGTTCATAAGTTCAGTGCTGCTTTGTTTACAGCTGTAAACAAGGAAAAGCTATATTGCTGCCGTTCTATAAGCACCACCTGCTATCAGAGAGTGAATTAGAATTTTCTTTCAGCCCATGTGCTGTTTCTGTTTCGAGCTATGCTTTATGTAGTATAGTATCACAAATCTAAAGTCAGACCATTCTGTTTTTGCTTCAAATTTCGAAATTGTATAATCTAATTAAGATTAAAACCTGCTCATCTTTGTTTGTTAAAAAAAAATAGTGGTTGCCTCGAATTTTAAAATGGAAAGAGCACAGGCAAAGCCTTAGCTTGTTTACATGAAGAGATTTATATGATGTATTATTTATTTGATTTGTTTTAAAATTTAAATTTAGTTTTGTTATTTGACATTTGTTTTGAATATCATTTTGTAAAAAAATTAATAATAATAAAAAAAAGTATTATGAATCGTATCGCATTGTGAGTTAAGTGTATCGTTACATCCCTACAATGGTGTCCATTAACTACTTGAGCAGTCGTGGCCTAATTGGAGCACGGGTCTTCAACTAAAATTGCTTGAGGTCCAGTAATGAACCCTCCTCAGCAGCCGAGTGCCGGACAATTATATAGAAAAACATGAATTGGTGTTTTTTGCCAGACCAGGGTATCTGCAGAATATTTAAACTCAAATTTAAGACTTTAAGACCTGCACAAATAAAATAAAAATGACTGGTCTGATTGGTCTGAACAAAAACAGCAGACAGGTTTCTTAAAAATGCAAGTCATTCTCTGCCAGCAAGAGGCACTTTCTACCAGCAGTTTCCCCGGTAATGGCAGTACACAAAGCATGCAGCAGCTGACTGAAACATGCAGCGCTCATATGTATTCAATGAAATCACTGCCTTTCGAAGTTTAATCGTCACGTTAAGCCGTATCACAATTCTTGCCTTTCGGTCCCCAAATTTAAAAACTCCTAAAATCATAATTAAAGGCACAATATGTAATTTTCGCTGCTAGAGGGTGCGTATTTAAAATAAACAAAGAAACAAAGGCATATTTTGATGATGCCATGACTGAGTGTGGAATCATGGGAGTTGTCGTCTTAATCACCACATACAATCCGACGGGACTCGGGCAGAAATCATGTTCATGGGTGAGTTAATGATTTATTAACGTAGTAGAATGAAGCAGGGTGAGGCTGAAAGCCGTCAAAGCGAAACGAGGCCGCTGAACGAGCGTGACACACGGCTCGAAAGCAGCGGAGCTTTTATTATGCAACTGTAGACCTCCTTCCGCTCGTGCGTATGTGGGGGGAAAAAAGCAGCGCTGTTTTATCATACTAGATACATTTGAAAGTTCTGTTATAATGCTACTCTGTGCGGTCGTCACCGGTCTATTAAAATGCACAAAATATTAAAGCGTCTTTGGTGTTTCCATGTTTTCTACAAAACAGAACCGGAAATCGAGGGGTTATGACATCATTAGCCGGTTGACACAATGACACTATGGAAACGGTCCGTGTCACTAGTTAAAATAGCTTATTTCTCTGGATTTAAACATTCTTTGAAACATTTGGGATAGTGTAAGTACACAAGTCAGCAAAATATATAACACTGTTCTAGTGGTTTTTGGATATTTTAATAAAAACATTTGACAGTGCTTTTCAAGACTTTCTTGTACCATTTCTAAAGCATACCACTAAATAGAAGACTTTAAGGACCCGCCAACTTTCCAAATTTTTGAGAATTAAATTTTTTCACTCCCTGAAAGTTTCACCTGTCTGCGTGCCGCTTTCTGCTCTCTTCACTGCACACACGACTGCATGTCTGAATGTTACGCAACAGTTAACTTAAAAGTAGTAGCAACCTGTGGTACTGTAGGATCCAAACTTTACTGAGCTGACCTTGATATGCTTGATAAAAATGTGATTTTATTAGAAAACAGCGTTTGCCATTTATTTATTTCATAATGTCAAAAGGCTTAACGGTCCGGATTCGGACCTGGAGTCTGCCAGTTGGCGACCCCTGGGTTAGAGAGTCAGACTTGTAATCCAAAGGTTAGGTGTTCGAGTCTCGGTACCACAGGGATTGTAGGTGGGGTGAGTCAATGAACGGAGCTCTCTTCCACCTTGAACACCACGACTGAGGTGAGACCCTTGAGCAAGGCACTTAACCCCCAATTGCTCCTCGGGCACCGGAGCAAAAATGGCTCTCCACTACTCCACGGTGTGTGTGTGCGCACTTGGATGGGTTAAATGCAGAGCACAAATTCCAAGTATGGGACACCATACTTGGCTAAACGTCACTTCACTTTCACAATCTTCAAAATATCTTCTAGGTGATATCTAGGTTTGGAACAACTTAAGAGCGAGTAAATGACAGAATTTTTATTTTGGGGGAAAACTATTCCTTTAAGATTTAAAAACAGCATTTATAAAACTGCATACCATCCCCTCCTCCTATATCTGTGTTGGCCTCCACAATCCATTCTGCATAGCCATGCAGAGCATCCACTCCTTTTGCAGGCTGGATGAAGGGACAGGAATGCTCGGTGTTGATTGTGCTGTGTTTTAGACCAATCTCCAGTGGTCTGTGATACAAAGTAAGGCTCTCTGCTGACTGTTTGGGCTCCAGGCCGACCACCTGCTCCATTCGCACTTTAAATGGACTTTCAGTGATCCTAGTATGATGCAACAACAGAAAAAAAATGTGAGAAATTCTGCTGCACTATAGTTGTGCGTTGTTTGCACTGATAAGATACGGAAAGCTAAACTTACGGTTTGCTTTTAGTAGGTTTGGGTAAGAAGCCAAATCCCATGATCTCTGCCGACTGCTCCTTCATTGCCTCTGTGACACTAAGTGGATCTCCACAGTGCACCAGTGTCCAGTTGGGACCCCAGCCCACTCTGAAAGATCGCCCTCTGAACAAAGCAGAGTCCATCAGCAGATGGCCTTTTCCTAGAGTTATGGAGCTCTCCAGAGGTACTGGCCCCCCTAGCCTGCGGGCCCCCACAGTTCGAAGAGTAGGTTCTGGGGGAGGGGCCGGCAACAGAAAGGAAGGACCCAACAAAGGCCATGGAGATTCTGATGCTAGTGACTTGCGAAGCTTCTGAGGTATTCCCCCAAAAGGAGCCTCTGGCAACTGGGAAAAAAGCCCGCCTCCTGAGATGAACTTGGTTTGTAAAAGGGCTCCAACTGTGATAGAAAAGCCATAATATCAGACATGTTTAAAGAAGTATATTTCCCACAAGTATGTAAACCGTTATATGCATTAGGCTGGCATACTTGATGACCGACCAGCCCCAGAAAGCAAAACTTTGGGGGAAGCCACATCCTGTACGAGCTTTGACGAACCATGCTCTTGAAAGAAATCACATTCATCATCCTCTGCAAAGAGAGAGGCCTTCATAATCTGTATAGAAAACAAATCAAAATTGATTAAAACAACAGAATATGACTGGTTTCCAAACAATGACTCAATTACACACGCGCTACCTGTAAGGTATGAGGGTTGATGCCCATTGAGGAAGCAATCTGACTTGATGCAGACACAGGCTCGTGCTCAGCAGGAGTCTCAGATCTCAGCTTGTTCTCCTCCAGAGTTCTCTCTCGATCCTCCTCACCCAAAACACTGTCTGCCAGGTGCTCTTGAGTAATGTCAGCCATGTCACTGTCCAACTCCGACACACGGCTGAGCAGCTCAAGAACTGCTGTACTCTATGCACATGCATACAAAGAGATCAAGTCAAGTCTTTATTCTTGATCCGAGTGCAGAGTACGGTTAAAAATAATTTTTCATCCCTATCAGACCATTTCAGCAATGTTAAAGTTGACAGAAAGCAAACTTTCAAACAGAAATAAATTTTTACCTAAATAATTTGACAGGCATCAAGACTCTAGCTGCTGCCTATTCAAAACATTGCTATGAAAGCATTGTGTAGCCATGAAATGTCCTGACACAAACATGTCATCTTTATTGCACCTTTATTTATCAATAAAATACATGACAAAAATCAAATCAAATTCACACACTGCCACTCATACATTTTTCACTGCTATACTTCCAACTAAAACAATCTTAAACCTCACAAGCTCATATTTGTAGAATCTCTCAGATCAGACACTTTTAATTACTACATGTAATGTTAGTTAAATCACCTGCCAAAAATAAATCTAAAATACAAATGGTCAAACAAACTCTTTGCTTGTGTTCCAAATATCATAACATACACATATACTTCATATTTTGGCAAAGATAAAAGAAACCAAGCATAATGCTTGGCTGCATCTTATTCCACTCAAAACACATTCAGAATTACCCTTGTATTTTCACTCTGTGTAAACAAAGCAATGTTTCATACCAGCTGGGTGAGGAGGTTTCTGAGCCTCCAGCTCCTCATCTCTCTCCTCCTGAATAGAATCCTCTGCCAGAGAGATGTCCTCGCTACTGGCCTCCAGGCCATTGCGATGACTGGCAGTTCCCCGCATGTTGAACTCAGAGATTGTGTCCTGTAGCGAGGGGCTCGGCTGGGCGTGTGGAATTGGTTTGGTGATCAGATTGGTGTAGAACTTGGAGACCTCCAGATCATCCTCCTCACTTCGCTCCACAGTTACTTCTCTGGTCTCTCTTTCATCTATACTCAGACTGAAGTGTGACAGGAAAACGTTAAAATATATGGTGGAATCTCTACTAAATTCAGCAGTTAAGAACTAGTGTAAACTTACCTGAGCCCGTTGTGTGGGTACTCTGAAGGGGAGGCCAAGTCGTCAGCCTCTCTGTTCACAGAGTTGTTATACAGACTGCTGTTATTCAGATTCTTCAAAACAAGCTTCTTTATGCTCTTCCTAAAACAAAACATGCAGACAGAACACTTTAGTTAGTGCACTACAACTTGAGCTACATGTGCACTAAGAGTAGCTGGAGTTATGAAGTCAGGTTCTTACCTAGGCAAGAAGGCTCCATTGTTAAGAGAGGGTTCATCATCATCAAGTCCATCAAAGAGCTGAGATTTGGAGGAGCCTGATGAGGACAGAGCTTTGGGACGAACACGGGTGGCAGGACGAGGAGTCAGTTTGTACTGAGTAGGGGTAGTCAGGGCTTTCTGGGCAGCTGGATTTGTAGGCTTTAGACGCTAATGATGGAGAAGATACGTTAGCAGTGCATGTACTGTGCTAAATGGTAAGAAACAACTAGTCTTTTGAGCCACTCACTAATCTTTTCAAAATACCAATACATTTAAGGACCACGTAAAATGTAAAAGTCAAACCTCTTCCTTCTTCTTAGGGTCTGACAGTGGATTTCTGAAGAGCGGTGAGTCTCCAAAAGGAGAATATGCCAATGCATTGATCTGCTGTTGGAGGACGGCCTGCTGCGCAGCTGATGCATTGGGGTCAGTCAGAGCTGCGAACAAAACATAGTACACCAGTTATTTATTTTACAGAATTTCAAAGAGATCTGTCTCGCATGAAGTACTCAATTTAACATGATTACAACCAGTTATAGGAATGAAATCATTTATGAAGCATTTGCACTGACCCACAGGCTGTTGAGGAGCACCAAAATTCAGAGTGTTGGCTCCGGTGTTAAAGCCTCCAGTCCCAAAAGTGCCCACTGACCCCAGGGTGGAGCCCAGCTTGTTCTGGTTGTTCCCAAACAATGATGTCTGGCCAGTTCCTACAGCTGAAAATACAGACTAATACTTAGAAGCCATGTTTTCATTCTTACAATAACAAATGACAACAAAAATCATGCAGCCCAAAACATACCTCCTCCAAAGCCAGTTCCCAGTCCTGTTCCAAGGCCTGTCATAGCAGTTTTGTTCCCAAAGAGACCCCCACCAGTACCAGTTGCTCCGAATCCTAAAAATACACCAACATTGACATTTGAGAAGAAATATATTGTAATTTCTAGGTCAGATCAAATTGCACACTGGAGAAATGAAGCCCATCACATTCACCACCAAAACGAGAATGAATTTGATTACAGCAAACACTAGTCAGCATTAACAATATTAAACTTTATTGTTAAAGACTTACCAAAGGTTGAGGTGTTCGTGTTAGTCCCTAGAGTGAGTGTAGGCTTATTTGCAAACAGACCAGTGCCTGTTCCAAAGGAGGGTGTGCTAGTGGTGGTGGTGGTGCCAAATCCAGCAGGCTTATTGCCAAAAAGATTCTGTGAAATAAAGAGAACAAGTCAATCATTTAGAAAAACAATGCAAAAAAATTTAATTTACATTTGAACACGTTGAAAATCTAAAAATGGACTTTTGAAAAATACAGAAAAGGGGAAAAAATGAGAGCTAACTGTAGCCTCTCCAGAATTCACCTGTGTACCGACATTCCCAAAGCCGGTGTTAGTTTGGCCGAAAATTCCTGTGCCGAATCCTGTGGCCGTACTTGTGTTAGTGTTTCCAAACAGTCCTCCAGCCTGAGAGGCAGCTGTGTTGCCAAACAGCCCCTTATAAATAAAATATTGGAATAAACACAGAATTAATCTGATGTAAGATTAATAAGATCAGTTAAGCATATTTAGTAAATCAGTGTAGACATTTACTACACCTGCTGGAACTCACCATGCTGTTGCTGTTGCCAAAGGAGAATGTGTTATTTTGGGTGGTGGTAGCTGAGCCAAATGGCTTGAAGAGACTGGAACCTTGCTGCTGCTGCTGTTGCTGTTGCTGCTGCTGTTGCTGTTGCTGTTGCTGTTGCTGCTGCTGCTGCTGCGGCTGGCCAAACAAACTTCCTGTGGTTGTACCAAAGCCCCCAGTGCCTGCAATGCAAACACTTAGCACACTTAAGACAAAAAAAAAATCTAAATAAACAATTAAGGTACAACCACTTACTTGTGCCAAATGAGGTCTTGTTCTGGCCGAAGCTGAAGCCAGTGTTTGGAGTTGAGGCTCCAAAGAGTCCAGTGCCAGTACTGGGAGTAGCTGTGGCTGCCGCTCCAAAGAGACCACCTGTGCCAGCTGCCATGGGGTTGGAAGGACCCTTCCTTCCTGCCTGGTAATCCTCAAGCCTTAATTCCTAAGATCAAGGAAAGAAAGGTACATTTATTTCATCATGGCTTTAAATTCTCAAAACTCCAGACAACAGATGTGTTACATATTTTGTTCTCTGCAGACAGTTTATCAAAGCACCTGACAAACAGTGCTTGACAATTATTTCAGCAGGCTGCCAAGTACTAAAACAACTATCACAACAAGAAAATTCTACCTCTAAGGATTTGTTCTCGTATTCCTTCATGGCAGTGATACACTGGTGTTTGGTGTTGATGCTGGTTGTCACACCTCCTTTTACCATTGTGTCACTCCCAGTTGGTGGCTGCAGCAAAACACAAAAGATTTTAGTTAAAAACCATGCATGAAAAACAGGTAGCTAAATTACCAGTATGAAGAAGAAAAAAGTATAATAATTTCTAAACGAACATTGAATTTGATTGTTGTGCCAGGGGGAGCAGCAGTGAAATTTGATGACCCAAACAAAGAGCCTGATGTTCCTCCAAAAGGGTTGGATGTTGTGTTGGTTGTCCCAAATAATCCACCGCTACTGGTGCTGGTACCGAAAGCTGCAAAGCAATTCAAAGTTACTTAGGTCCATTATGTTTAAGTTATTCTTTTAATCCAAGACACTACTTCTACAACAAATCAAACAATTTATAGCTACACTGGAATGCTGCAGAAAACTTACTGCCAAAAGTGGTTGGTTTGTTGGCAGCAAAGGCATTATTCTGCTGGGAAAACAATCCTCCACCTCCAGTGTTGGTGCTTCCAAAAAGGCTGTTTGGTGTGCCACTGGTGGCACCAAACCCAAACCCAGTACTGGTGGAGGATGTGACAGGCTGACTGAAGGTGCTTGAGCCAAATAGGCCACCTTGAGGACAGACACAAATATTTAAATACAAATCACACACTGTTGACCAAATACAACATTCTTATGGGACCACTCGTTTCTTATGTGATAGCACATCAGTTTGCAATGCAATCTATCCTCAAAACCATCTTCAAATCAATAATATTCAGCTAAGTCTTCTCAGTGAGTCACCACTTGACTGAATTTGACTTGTTCATCATTAGCGAATTCACTTTTGAGATGACTTAGTCAACAGCTATTTTTTTTTGTTCCGTTACAGCTTGAGTCACCACAATCATGCTCTATTTTGCAAATGACTAACATGCAGAGTAAACTAATCTTCTCAACCTGCAGTGCTCAAATCAGTGAGCAAAGCCAACCTGCAGGATTGCATTGTCATGTTACACATACAAATTAAAGCACAATCTTAGATGAGGCTCAGCTACAAGCAAATAACTCTTAATAAAAAAAAAACTGATAGATTTTTATTTTTTTACTGATAGATTATATGAGCATTTAAAGATGGCTGTGAGATTCTGCATACACCTTCTGCTACAGAAAACAGCATACCAGGTTTGTTCTGGGTGGTCCCGAACAGTCCTCCTGTGTTGTTTGTTGTCCCAAATGCTGAAGATCCAAAGCCCCCTGTTGCTCCAAATCCAGCATCTGATGACAAAGGTAACACAAAATTCTTATTTTGTCTCTGTACAATATTAAATTATTGTTTCTCTAATTTTTTTACATATAAAATACCTTAGCATATATATTAACTTACTTTGTTGCCCAAATGTTGAAGTAGTCCCAAATCCTCCTGTCCCTCCCCCAAAAGGAGCACCAAAAGATTTGTTGAACATCTTGCACTGCTATAGAGCCTGCATATGTCTGCACAAAAGACAAAAGCTTTCAGTTCTAGCACAGCAAATACACTTCAGCTGCTTTACTAACAAGCAATCTTTTCAATATCTAAATGGTTATTATTAGGTGTTCCAATATTATTTTGATCACTACCATTGCTGAATTTTTCCTTTAATCTTTAGACTTTGATTTCCTATGGCCTGTGCCAATATTACAATGACTAAATTAGTTTGTTTCCATAAATATCCCTGACTGGTGTTCCTGCTAGGGATAAATGCTGAAAATGATTAGATGAAAAGTGTAAAAAATAAAATAAAATAAAAATCTGTTGTACACAATCTTCCACATGATGTCTGCCCTAATAGTTCTGATTCATACAGTTGGAGTCGGATAAACACTCGTTTAAAACATATGATCTGATATACAGTATGAGACCCTTTTCACAGTGACGTCAGCTAACTTCCGCTTTCCCGCAAAGCAGTGTATCTGTAAGGGGCATCATGTGTTGATTCGCACGGACAACATGTTGGTGGAATTGTACATAAACCGCCAAGGCGGAGTACACTTGAGAGCCCGTTACAGACAGGCAGCACGCCTATTGCTTTGGGCCGATCACCTTCTGCTCTCCATTCGAGCAGCGCATGTTCCGGGCTGCCTGAACAGCGGCGCGAATATGCTATCGAGGGACAGGATCCCTGCCAGCGGTTTCCCCCACTGAAGATTTTGTCACAAGGGCTGCACAAAATCAGAGAGGAGAAGGCGTCAGTGTTATTAGTCGCTCCGTACTGGCCGAACAGGCCTTAGTTTCCCGATCTGTTGGAAATAATAACGGCTCCCCCGTGGCCGATCCCACTGAGATGGGATCTCCTGTCACAGGCAGACGGCTTGGCATGGCACCCCAACCCCGAATGGTGGAAACTTCAGGTGTGCGGGAACAGGTAAAACCGGGCTCATTGTCTCACCGCGTGATGGACACGATTATGGAGGCGCGAGCCCCTTCTACGAGACGCCTGTACGCCTGTAAATGGACAGTGTTTGAGAGATGGTGTGAATCGAATGGTCGGGACTCGGAGAACTGCCCCATGTCTGACATTCTGAATTTTTTGCAACAACGAATGGACGGCGGCAGTATGCCCTCCACTCTTAAGGTTTATGTTGCAGCTATCTCAGCCTTTCACGCTGCAATCGACGGGCGCTCAGTGGAAAAACACGATCTAGTGATCAGATTTTTGAGAGGTGCGAGAAGACTGAGACCCTCTCTGATGGTGGGGGCTCTAGCCCCCCCCCCCTTCGAGCCACTTCAGACTGTCGGCTTGAGGGAGCTCTCGCTTAAAACCGTGCTGCTGCCCGCCCTTGCTTCGGTCAAGCACGTGTGGGATTTGCAAGCGCTCTCTGTGAATGCGGACTGCATGCAGTTTGGACCAGGTGATTGTAACATCATGCTCAAGCCAAGATTGGGCTACGTGCCTAAATCGCTCTCGACACCGTTCAGAGCGCAAGTGGTGGCGCTTTCTGCTTTCACTCCAGAGTTGGAGACTTCATTGGATGCTGCCCCGAATCAGGTGTTGTGTCCGGTGCGGGCTTTGTGAGTTTACATCGACCGCACGGCTCAGTTTCAGCAATCTGAGCTGCTGTTTGTATGCTTCGGAGGCAGCGCTAAAGGGCAGCCTGTCTCCAAACAACGGCTATCACATTGGGTGGTTGATGCTATTGCCTTGGCATATTCCAGCCGGGGAATGGAATGTCCTATTGGTGTCAGAGCCCATTCAATGAGGGCAGTTGCCTCCTCGTGGGCGTGGACTAAGGGTGTTTCTATCAAAGATATTTGTATGGCGGCTGGATGGTCTTCGCGGAATACCTTCACCAGATTCTACAATTTGGACATGTGGTCATTAGCCTTACAGGTCCTGTCGGTGAGTACGACCCATGGTTCTACCTGCAACTACTAGCCGTTTGACTGTGCTGGTGGTTTCGACTAGGTCGTGTAGGGGGATCGGGGGCGGGGCCATCGTCATATTCAGACTGTGGCGCCACGGATGCGGCCGTTCTCTATGTGTGTATATTGTTGTTAGTATTGTGCTGGCCTTGCCACTCACATGCTTCGTTGCACTGTTATATTACATACTTTTATGCGTTTGACATGACTATAATGTTTTAGCCTTGTATGGCGACAGCACTGCATCTCCCTCTCAATATGAGACCTGCCATCGGACATGGATTCTGAGTAACCTGATTGGATCCCTAGTGGGAATCTACATCCAATCCCCTCGAGGCATGTTGCAGGGTCATATTTGATTGGTTGTGGATTATTTTTAGTGTCTTGCAAGAACTGTTCATGTTAGCTCCGCCGAGGCTGAGCCTTTTTATTTCGCTGCTTCCACGGCGTTGTTCTATAAAGTCCCCAAGGCGTTAACGCCATGTCGAGAGACCGTTCTTGAGAGGGAACGTCTCTGGTTACTCTCGTAACCTCGGTTCCCTGAGAGACGGGAATGAGACATGGCGTTGGCCGCCGTGTCCACTGCTCAGGTCTGCTGTGCTGTTGGTTCAGTCGGAAGGGAACTGAGGTTACGACAGTAACCGGAGACGATTTGTATGACAACTTGATTATGTGTCACAAAATACATACTGGCGTGGACTAAGGGTGTTTCTATCAAAGATATTTGTATGGCGGCTGGATGGTCTTCGCGGAATACCTTCACCAGATTCTACAATTTGGACATGTGGTCATTAGCCTTACAGGTCCTGTCGGTGAGTACGACCCATGGTTCTACCTGCAACTACTAGCCGTTTGACTGTGCTGGTGGTTTCGACTAGGTCGTGTAGGGGGATCGGGGGCGGGGCCATCGTCATATTCAGACTGTGGCGCCCCGGATGCGGCCGTTCTCTATGTGTGTATATTGTTGTTAGTATTGTGCTGGCCTTGCCACTCACATGCTTCGTTGCACTGTTATATTACATACTTTTATGCGTTTGACATGACTATAATGTTTTAGCCTTGTATGGCGACAGCACTGCATCTCCCTCTCAATATGAGACCTGCCATCGGACATGGATTCTGAGTAACCTGATTGGATCCCTAGTGGGAATCTACATCCAATCCCCTCGAGGCATGTTGCAGGGTCATATTTGATTGGTTGTGGATTATTTTTAGTGTCTTGCAAGAACTGTTCATGTTAGCTCCGCCGAGGCTGAGCCTTTTTATTTCGCTGCTTCCACGGCGTTGTTCTATAAAGTCCCCAAGGCGTTAACGCCATGTCGAGAGACCGTTCTTGAGAGGGAACGTCTCTGGTTACTCTCGTAACCTCGGTTCCCTGAGAGACGGGAATGAGACATGGCGTTGGCCGCCGTGTCCACTGCTCAGGTCTGCTGTGCTGTTGGTTCAGTCGGAAGGGAACTGAGGTTACGACAGTAACCGGAGACGATTTGTATGACAACTTGATTATGTGTCACAAAATACATACTTGATACCTTTTCACTTGTTATTTCGGTTTGTCATTCCTTGGATAAACTGTGAGTGTGTAAATTAAATTCCCCGTATAATTTGGCAATAAAAAGACAAACAACATGATTTTGTTTTTATTTACTATGAGAAAATGACATAGACACAAATCATATTTTTTATATGAAATCTTTTTACTACATGGCAAGATTCAGATCCATAAAGGCAAGTGGTCTGAAAAGAAACTCAGTATCCAGTTCAAGAATAAAATGTCTTAATATTGAAACAATACAGAAAGGACAGCCACGTGGTTCTACTGAACTTTGGACTTCATTAATTACTTAAATTTCTCCATTCAATTTCGCTTTAATTACATACCGTGTTTTTACTTTGTGAATTATTATTGATTAATATGATCAATCATATTTTATTTTCGTTAGGCTATGGGCAAAGACTGTGATTTAATAGATATTTGTAACATTTCTGTAAAATATAGTGTTACATACTTAGTAATCATTATTGTTAAAGAACAGCTGAAAAGATGTTCTCTCAATTTTAACCCCATAATTGATCAAACTAAAAGAAAATTCAACTTTTGGCTTCAAAGAGATCTCTCCCTAAAGGGAAGAGTTCTCCTTATGACGGCTGAAGATATAGCCTGACTGACATATGCCTCCTTATCTTTGTATCTTGATAACCATACTAGTAAAAATATTGATAAGATGCTATTTGATTTCCTATGGAGAAATCGAACACACTATGTTAAAAAGACTGTGATTATGAATACATACGAGAACGGTGGCCTTAATTTCTTAGATTTCACCACTATGAACCACACCTTTAAGATTAATTGGATTAAGCATCACTTAAAAAACCCCACTCCTGTCTGGAATTGTATCCCTCATTATGTTTTTTCAAATATTGGTGGTCTTTGTTTTGTTTTGATGTGTAATTATAATATAGATAAAATTCCAGCTAAGTTATCTGCCTTCCACAAACAAGTGCTCCCATCTTGGTCATTAATATATAAGCATAATTTTTCTCCGCATCGCTATTTCATCTGGAATAATTGAAACATTCTTTACAAACATAAATCTCTTTTTTTTAAGAACTGGTTTGACAACGATATTAAATTGGTTAGTCAGTTATATAATAAAGAAGGAACACTCTTTTATTATGATGAATTCCTTTCTTATTGTAAAATGCCTGTTACTCAAAAATAATTTGCAATTGTTGTTGGTTCAATCCCTTCAGGTACTCGCATGCTATTTAAAGGTATTGATATAGTCCATTCTCCCGATTCAGTGTCTTTTGATGTTAGTAAATCTTATTTTGATAAAATTTGTTTTTCATTAAATCCCAAAAATAATAATAGAGCTAGCAGTACTCTTTTCCAAAGAGAAATTGTTACTGTACCTTATGTTTTGTCTCATTGGGTCTCTTTATTGAACGGAAAATGTATTTGCTGGAGAAAAGTGTTGTTGTTACCACAGAAATATCATCCTAGAAAGAAGATTAAAAGAAGTTTCTTATAAGCTTATTCATAGATTTTATCCAGCAAATCATTATTTACAACAATTTTAAAAAGGAATAAATGTAAATGGTATTTTTTGTAATGAGTATGAGGAAACTGCCTTGCACTTATTTTGGCATACTTAGTAATCATTATTGTTAAAGAACAGCTGAAAAGATGTTCTCTCAATTTTAACCCCATAATTGATCAAACTAAAAGAAAATTCAACTTTTGGCTTCAAAGA